TCCCGGGGGAACCAGGACCAGAGGGTTCTGGGTTGGAGTCCCCGGGGGAACCAGGACCTTTCTGGGTGGAGTCTGCATGTTCTCCTGTGTCTGTGGGTTCTCTCCGGGTTCTCCGGCTTCCTCCCACCGTCCAAAAACCTGCATGTTAGGTTGTTGGACTCCAAACTGCCCTTAGTGTGAGTGTGTGTGGTTGTTGGTCCTTGTGTGTCTCTGTGTGTCCCTGTGATGGACTGGGGACCGTCCAGGGTGACCCCGCCTCTCCCCATTGGCTACTGGGATAGGCTCCGCCCCCCCGACCCCATTAGGGAATAAGGGGTAACCATAATGGATTGAAATTCCAAACCATCTTTTTTCCACTTTCAAACTTTTGGAGGAACACAATAACATTTATTTTAATGCTGTGCTTTTATCTAGCGATTCAAAAGGTTGGTTGGTGTTTTCATTCACAAACTAATGTCAAATCTGTCCCGTAGTTCCGGTTGGGATCAAATGACAAACGAGATGACAAATGTGGCACACTTCTGTCAGATTCATGCCATCGTTTGCTCTTGAATGGAAGTCTTCTGCCTGAGGCCGAGCTGTTTCACCAGACTCAGTCCAGCTAAAATGTACGAGGCCTTCACTTACATAAAAATATGTCAAAATCCGTAGATCCCTGAGGTGAGAGTCGAGCTTCTAGTTTAGTGGGTACTAATGCATCCCATTCAATGACTTATTAAGACTCCGGTTGCTCGATATCCCAGGTCTAGTTTAGTGTTTAATGTTTCTGATTGTTTTAATTTAGTGAAGCCATGCAGTTGTAATAGATCTAGTATGCATTTTCTGAAATCTTCACAATATTTCCTAAAGGTTCCTTTCAAGATGCACAACTTGTTAGTTCCATAGGCACCAACGCACTTCCATACCATCAAGGGATACAGGCTCAAACCAGTAGCTGAATAATTCCTCTCCTTTTGAGAACTGATGACACAGCGTCTATGATTTCCAAAGACAGAACACCCAAAAACTGTTCTCCACTTTTTGGCCCATCATTGTGAATTACAGGGAAAAGTGCTGGATCATGTTCACTAATCTCTTTGTCTTTCCATTAAAGAGCCTCAAACCCCATTTTCTGATGGCATGGTTAACTATATTGATAGGCATTCATCTCCGGGGTCCATGTTGGAATATCTGAGTTAGAAATGGGTGCTTTTAAAAAAAATAAAAGATGTTTTAACCCAAGGATCATAGGTATCCAATGGTGATTTCCATTTTTATCTTTTCTGCACGCCTCTAAATTCCCAGTATGCTTTGATCATATCATATCCTCTAAAAAAAAAAAACCCACACACTTGTTTTGTTGTTTCTGTTCTGTTTATGGTCTACCTGCATATTTTCACCTGATCCCTCTTGTTCAGACAGAAAGTTCAGGCCTTACCTTTCTTTTTTAACAGTTTTCCTCCGACATAATCCTCCACCAGAACCCAATCAGATAAATCCCTGGGAGGACATCATTGCCCATAAAGAACCAGCGGCCTGTCAGTAGAGATAAGGGGCTTTTGGCCTGAGTTCCTGACTGGCCGTATCTATGTCTGGTGCTATGTTGATCAGATTGGACCCTGAGCAGGGTCCTCTATTGCTGGGTAATCAGGAACCAGAGTCTGCCTCGGGAGAGCTGCACTCATTTTGATAATACCATTAGAACGTCGGTGCCCTATCACCGCTACAATTGGTAAGTTAATATTTGGGAGTTGTCCTCTGTTTGTACAATGGCCATCTGGATTATATATTCTATGTGTGCCTGATTGGAGACAGAGCCATTTCTACACACTGTGGATGGGGATGGGTGTGTGTGCGTGTGCATCTGTGACCAGTGGATCATACCTGCAGTGAATGGGCTCAAATGGCATTAGAGAATTGATTACCGGTCCCTGAGCGCTGATAGACTGCAGGCGGCATGTTGAGCCGGGCTAATCAATGGCCTGTGTTTGCCTGGAAATGTTGCAAGTCATTGAGACATGGCAGATCCGCGGGCTTCCATGATAGCGCCGTATCCGTGGCGATACGTCATGATTGTTTTTGGAAAATGGCGTGGTGGCTCAGTTCTGGCATGAGGCACCAGCCCTGGTTTGGTTTGTATCTCTGTATGCTAGAGAACTGGACTCTATGCAAAGCTAGCATCTGTTTTCTTTTCTTCACGTAACCAACTCAAAGCTGCTTATCTCATTTTCATATTCTCTTCGTTAAGATTCCTTAACTCATTGACTGCCAGCCATTTTCAGAACAGAGAGTCCCATACTGCCAGAGTTTTTTTGAGCATTTTGACTGATTTTTCAAGAGCCACAGAATAGTTTGTGCTATGACCATGTAAACACCGAACACACCAAAAGAAAGAGTAGACTCTCTTCTTTCATCAGGAAAAAAAAATTGTTTCTACCTTATTCCGTTCTTCCTCGACGTGCGTCTCACCGGCGCCATTTCTTGCATAGCGAACCATTGCGTTTTTCTTGTTTGCCTACAGTCTATGCTCATCTCCCATCAAAAGTGGCACTGCCCCCTAGAGGGTCAATTTGTTACTGCATACTCTGTCTGGAAGCCGATATTTATGGAAAAACTTTAGCCGATCGTCCCCAAGCCACTCGCGTTGAAAAACATAAAAGAGCAGCCAATGAGTTAACTGGTTCTTTCTATTCAGGCTTTGAATGACCGTTTTTTGCGTGCCTTTCCTCAGAAAAGCCTTGAAAACACTTTAAACTAACTTGCCTTCTTTCTGTTTTTACCGCCTTCCACCCCGTACCGCGGACATTTCTCCTGATAGCTAAAGTCTGGGTTGTAATAAGCCCACGGTGCTCCCTCTGTCCTCATTTTCCTGTGATTTTCCTGTGATTAATTGGCTGGCACTGTGGCCGGGACACAATAACTGTGGATTACCTTCTGACCCCAAAAGACGTTTTTCTCACTTTATCTTAATGAGATATAGCCTAATATCTCATTATCACTGCATAATACACCACAGCTGAATGGGAAGAAAAAAAAAACTGCTCAGCATATTTTATTGGAGGAGAACTGAAACTTGGGTTTGCAAAATGGCACGTCTGTATATGAGAATATTTGAGCTTGGGTGAGGTTTTTTATAAAAAAGTACAACTTTTTTCTCTTCTTGTGTGTGCTGTGGTCACCGTAATTAGAAAGGAACTAGTGAAAGTAACGTAAATGAGCTTGTATAAGAATTAAGGAACGCCATTTCCGCTTTACAGGGCCTCCTCTGTTTCCTTCAGAGCATCGTTATTGGGCCGTCTAATGCATAATAGCCCCCATTTCGATAAATTCAATTTTCAGCTAAACAAGATGGGCCTCAGAAACGTGTATTTCTGCACCCATTATCTGAAAATTGGATCTGGTTGCGGTCGCCGTTTTTTTATTTTATTCCTAAACTCCTTCAAAGAAGTGGCCTGACTGTGAGGGACCCTTGTCTTCTGTTTTATAGCCCTGTGATTCCCGGTTTAATGTGTTTGTCTCGAATATAATGTGTTTTCCTTTCAGTTGCAGTGAACCACAGAATGGTTTCAACCACTTTTCCATAGAAATAATGAGCAAATTGCATCTTCGCCCATGTGTTCAGGAGTGTCTACTCCAAGGAAGTCTCACCCAGAGATGAAACAGCCACCAATCATGAGTCGCAACGCACAGGAGAGCAAACTTTCATCTGTGTGGCGAAATTGGAATCTTTCTTTGATTCTCACCACCTGTCAAGAGCATATAAAAAAATATTCACTTGTGCTTCAGAGCTGATTCTGCTTCTGTATTTCTCACTGAATGATTCAATGTCTTTACTGGGTAAGTGCGATTGTTTTCAGGCTTTTTGTTTGTTCGTTGGCTTGTTTTCAGCTGAATAAGCAGAAAGCAGTGCTGAGAATCAAATAATGAATTTATATCAGGTGAATTTTATGCATTCAGAGACACATTACTGAGACTGAAACATTACTCAGCGAGGCCCGTTTCCGACAAAGAATACATGTTTTACAATATATCTGACACAATATACCTGAATTTATGCCAGAGGATTATTCTGAACAGATAAATCATGACATCTGAGTGGGGGCAAACATGATATCATGTCTTTTAATATGTCGTCTTTAGCATAAAGTAAGCAGACGTTGGACGTTGGACGTCATTTAACGTATAATTTAAATGCTTTCTTACATATCTTATAATCCTTAATAAATATGTGTTTTTACTGTACCTGGACACTGTTCAGATCAAGTACATCTGAGGTTTGAGGCTCTAAATTCTTTTGTGACTGATTTGTAACACATTGTTTTGTTCCTATGGTAATGACTGAGTAGATAGAAATGAATTAAAAATAGATCCTCTGGCATGACTTTAACAAATAGCAAAATCTTGCCAATAAGTAGGGTGCGAATCTGTTTTCAAGTGACATTGTGTCGTTTCTCTGTAACGTTCAAAGTCTTCTCTTTCTGTTACATTTTTTGTTAAATACTTGGCTTATTCTGTCACAGCAAACATTTGTTTGATTTTTTTTTTTTCGGTGCTAAAACTCATACTCACTGCCGAGAGTTCAAAATATTCATAGTTTCAGCCAAAAATAAGACAATGCCTGAAGTTATTTAAAAAAAGATTGTTTTTTTTAAGTTGTGAATGTAAAAGTTTGCAATCTGCTATGACAACAGTAGTGCAAGTAGGGACTTTTCTCCTGAAATGCTGGTAAAAAAAAGTACTTTTTATCGTGTTTGCTTTTAATCTGGGTCTTTTGATCACCAGGCAACCGTTTAAATTATAACACTAGTGTGTTGATCTTATGATAAAATAAAAAATCACAAAATATTTGATACTTGATATTTTTTAATTGCATTGACGAAATACATTTGCAGAATACATTAATGTTTCTGTTATCAGATGCATTGTAAATGATCTTTTT